TGATTCAATCACTTTCGTTGTCGATAAAATAAGAACAAATCCATCTAAGAGTGTGGTAACTATAAAACCTGAATCAGCTTTTGAATTCCAAAACAATCCCATTAATGAAATAGAATTTAGATCCATAAGTAGGATTAGTGACCTTTGCAGAAAAGGCGAGTTGATAAAAAAGGGTATTACTATTTCTAAAATTGATTTAGATTTAGATGATGAAGTCAGAATTGATGGTCAGAGGTTAAGAATGTTTCAGAAATTTCAGGGAGATATCCAAATATTCTATCCGGAAGTCCTCCAAAAAAACACCGAACTAGCCCAAAAAGAAAATGAATTTGTTTCATTAGTAACTGAACTTAGTGAGGTTATTCGAAAAAATAATCAAGAAGTGGTTCCTCAGGGCCAAAAACTAGGCTTAAACTTACCAACTATTTATGCTGAAGTCTTAAAATATTTTGGATTAAATTTTTTTAAGGAATTAGATAAGAAATTATCCCTTACTGATTCCCATAACCAACTTATTATTGCTGAGAATGAAATAATCAGAACAAAAAAAGAAAATATCAAAACTAATGTTTATGAGATTTATAACAAGAACTTAAAAAAAATAGAGAATTACCAAAAGAATGGACCTTCATCCGGTAGTGGTTTAGAGAAATTAAAAACCCAAGCCATCGAAAGAATTAACGAAGTTTTGAACAGCAAAGACAATTTGCAAAATATTGATTTATCTACTTTGGAAAGTGGTAAATATAAAAATTGAGAGGAAGAATTAACTGCCCTTTCAAAAGAAGAAGAGGTAAATTCCTATCTCGAAAACTTTTTACAAGTCTTAAAAAACTTCGCAACCCAACAAAGAGACAAAGAAGATTCTTCTAGAAACCAAAATAACAAGGTAGATATTAGTAAAATTATCAGTGCTTCTTCGTTACCAGAAGCCCGAAACATCGCTAAGAAGTTAATCATTAATTTACTTTTGCAGTATGGAATTAAAAGGGAAGATTTAAACAAAGTTTGCTCTCGTCAAGGAAGTTCGGATTGAATTAAGCATCTTGAAAAATTAAACTCTCGAGAACAAATCAAGAATTTTGTGCAAGAAGTTGAAAGAAGTGCCATGCAAAATCACTCGGTTCCTTCAAATCAAGAACCCTCCATACTTAGACCCATTATCTTTTTAATTTTAGTGGTTGG